TCCAACTGAGTAAGCCATGTGCCTCCTTCCCATCACCTAGAGGCTCCTAATTTTGCCCAGCTTTAAGACACTGTTTGTACACCCAAAGGTAATGGGACAGTTAGCCAAGAGATTCTTGAAAAATGGGAATTTGTAGCCCAGTTTCTATGGCACGACTCTCTACCCCTGATGTTATAGGGTACCGGTGCATGACATTTACAGGTTCTCATGGGTGTATATCTCCCAAATGGCTGATTAAGAACTACCCCACATTGTAAACTTCCTGTCAACTGCTGGGACCATCAGCCACTTAATTTTCTATTATTCAGTTAGTGGCTAAATAGGTTTGGTACACATAATAAATGTGCATGTGTGTAATGCTGTGGTGCTGAGGACAAGGGCAGCTGACAGTCCTGGTTGGAGTACAGACAGCCACACGAAGGGTTCCACCATCCCCGCCTCCCTTGGGAAGGCCATGGAGGCAGACATAGTCTACATTTGCTGTTTTTCTTCTTACCCTTGTAAAAATCATGAGCATACACAGGATTGATTAAAAATGAAATGCATCTCGAGTTTCCTTCCGTTCATCTCCTCCACTACTCTAGTTACACCATAACACTGCATGTCTTTTACTTTATGACTGGTGGCAGGAAAATCTCATTAATTTGCACAATGACCCCATGTGGTGGCCCCTTCAAACCTTCCTTCCCCTCCCCCCCACAAAGATCCTGAGAGAATGGCTTACTGAGCTCATCTGAAAGGAGCTGGCCCAGCTCAGCAATTGGAAGCTACATGGCTTCTTTGCATAATGAACTTTCTAAGCAGGGATTCATCCAAACAGAGTGGATTGCCATGAACTGTGGTTCTCTATCAGGAAAAGTGATCAGAATATTCTAGAAGGGAACTAAGCTGGTTGGGTCAGATCATGATGGGTCACCTTTTAACCCTGAGCTGTGGGGGGGGGGGCAGTGAGGTAAGGGGTAATTTAGATGGCATTTGCTTGTACAGTACACCTTCTCCCTCCCTCATTTTCACTCTGTACACCACCCCACTCCCGCCCCCAGTTTCTTCTGGGAGATGATGCTGAGACTGTTCTAGACACAGACAGTGGGTATAGAGTGTGAATGGTACAGACAGAAGGACGCTTGTTACCGTGGCTGGCCCTGATATCACTATGCCTGACATGCTCAGATGAAGAGATGAAAAGCGAAAAGTTAGACGGGTCATACAGAGCTCATCCTAGACACAAAAAGATGGTAAACATGAAGGAGGAGGAGGAGGGAGGAGAGGCAGAAGAAATGGGCACACAAGTCCACATGCAGTTTTTGTAGCCACTTAGGCCTGCTTACCCCAGAGGAGCCCCATGTGAGGTTCGCTCCGTGGGTATGTGTGTTAGGAAGAATTCTCTCTGTGGGGAAGGAGTTACCTTCCCATTTTCTTCTAAAAGGTGCAGGAGCTTTGAGTCAGTGTCAGTCATTGAAAAGCCAAGTTTTGATCACTGGTTCCCGAGCTGGGTGAAGACGCCTCTCCTGAGCACTCATTCAATATTTGGGGGGTGCATGGGGTCATACTGTTCACAGGACATAATACTCTTCCTGTTCATTAACAGCAGAAGATGAGTGTGTCACCTAAGGCATGTATGTACGTTGCGCTTATGTGAGGGATTGGGGTCATTCTCAGTGACCTCATCTTCATGGGACTTTCTCAGAACTGGAGAAGACTCCAGTTCCAGGCCATCCATCCCCACACTCGCAGCTCAGCCACCACAGGACCCAAGGAGGATGTGTGTGTTGTGTCCTGGACTTAATCTGAGCTCAGGGTCTTTGCTGACGGAATATGGCACCTGTGCTTTGAACTGGGCAGGTGGGGGTGTAGGGGAGGAAATGGTTGTGACACTGGTGTCGGGCAGGAACTGTGTGATCTCATTTCTTGCTCAGAGAAGGTCAGGGCTAGGTCAGGGTCAGGAGTAGGTTGCTGTGGGGACAGCCCCAGCAAAAACGGGAAGATGTTCTCTCTGTTCAGACATGGTTGCCGGCGGATATGTGGAGACATGAAGTGTTTTTTCCACTGGTCCCCATTTTGAATCTTTGACCCACTTTCTGTCCACTTGCTTTTGAACCCAGGAGCTGACTCCAGCATAATTCTGAAAGGGCCACCCAGTGGCTGACTGGATGTCATCGCTCTGTGTGCTGCACAGAATTTCCCAGGTGCGGGGGCTGGCATCACATCAGCATGAGCATCATTCTTCCCCAGGACCATGGAGTTTTTTGTGTGTTTTTCTGCATCACCTCCTGTCTTAGTAGACATGAATGTTATCTAGGGCTTATGGTTGAGGAGATGACTGAGAGATTCTCCACAGTGAATGTGGCAGGGTGAATGGAGACTCAGCTTCAGCTCCAAACACAATCAACTTCCCTCCATTTTCCCATCCCTAAGACAGGGATGATGACAATGACTGACTAATGAGGGTGTGGTGAGGGTTAAATGAGTGAGTACTGTGAAGGCCCTGGAGCAGAGCCCAGGACAGAGCAATAGGTGTCTGCTCTGATGATGTCACTGGGAATGGGAGGAGTCTACAGAAGGCAACATGGGCACTGGAATCAGCTTGCCCTCATTTGCCCTTGCTTGGTACCACCCACTGCCTGGCAAGTCACTCAGGATGCTCTGAACTTCGGTTTTGGTATCTGTAAAATGGAGGTACTCCTTGCCTCTCAGACCACAGAGAGGATTAAGTGAAACAAAGTGTGTACCACTTAGCAGGCCTAGAACATGTTAGTAAGTATCCAAACTTTTATTAAGGTCAAGGGTGACAGTCTATCTGAATGACTTCTGAAAATCTTAGGTGTTGAAGACAGGAAAGCAATGGCCCCTTCTTACCCATCATTCTCATCTCGGCCTTCCTAAGAAGCAGAAAGGAAGCCTATCAAACGGTATACTGTTGGGCAGTGTGGGCAGCAGGGCTGTGAGCTGTGGGAACAGAGGGAATGCCTGTCTGGGAGCAAGTGGCCTGTCTTCCCCCAGCAGGTACACCCCCACCTCAGGCCTAGCTGGGGGCGGGTCATCGCAGCTCCATGCCCATTGTCGTTTCCGCTGCTATTCCTGAGGACCTGGTGGTTCCCAAGGGGTGGCAAAGGGCTTTGGGGCTGGCAATCCCAGGGTTGGGTCCAGGTCTTAGAAGGCCCCCTGGGCTGTTCCCTTCCCTACTTAGCCAGGCCACAATGGATATCTCTAAAGAGCAGCAACAATGGGGGACTGGACCCTCTCTACATGGGGTTTGCTTTAGGGGCTTTTTTCAGAGTCCAGGTTTCAGTACCATCATGTCTACCTATTTCCACACTTACCTCCGATTGGTATCAGGGAGGAAGTGTGTGTATGTGTGTGTGCACTCACGCCTGTGTGCATACACATGCGCCCCCGCATGTCTGTCTGTCTCTGTCTTGTGGCCAGGTTTAGGAAGGGTGAAATTTTGCCAGCCCCACCTTGGTAACCAGTCATACTGCTGAGCCCTAGAGTCTGGCCACTGGGTCAGGCCCTACCTCCTCAGGTTTTGCATGTCTGGAAAAGAGCTAAAAGTGGCAGGAAACATCCGTTTGGAAAGCCGTGGGCTGCTATATTTCACACACACCCCTCCCCAGCACTCTGCAGACAGATCACAGACGCCTACCTGAGAAGGCACCCAGAGGCCAGGACCCCAGGCTGCTGCTCCTCTGGCACCAAGCTGCATTCTAGGCTACCCTGTGTTCCATTCCCCAGAGCACCTCCCAAATCTGGAAAGGGGCAGCAGAGTGCCAGGTCTCCCTCAGACAAAGCAACACAAGTGAGAGGAGACCTTGCAGGAGGAAGCTGTTTGTACCCACCCTGCTCTAGCTGCAACTCTCACTTCTCACTGTCCGCTTGCCCTCTTGAGGGACAGCCATTCTGACTGCTGCCCAGATCCCTCCGCATCCCTGCCAGCAATAGCCCTCATGCCCCCAAAGTCACTTCTTTCCTGTTTTTATCTTAGAACCTAATCCCTGGAAGGTCTTGTATGGCACATTGGTCTTTTTAACGGACTGGCTGGAAGAGCCTTTAGAAAAAATGTCTCTCCTTGTTCATTCTAGAGTTCTTTTGGTCGGACGTATCTTCGAGACGTCTCAGGAGAAATTCCTTGGGCTCTACTCACCCCCCTGCTCCTTCAGGTAGGTGTGTCCTCAGCAGCTACCAGCTCCTTAGCCTGCTCTGTGTTTGAGTGGCAAGGAGGGATCATAGCAAAGAAGAAAGCAGAGGAAGGACGGTAACACTGCCCAGTCTTTGCATGCGTGAGTCCCATAACAGCAAAATTCATGGCTGAGATTCTCTGGTGTGTGGGGTCGGGTGGAAGCTAGAGTTCTTGGTCAGTGGGGTACTCCTAGTCAGTGGAATGCTCCCAGTCAGTGGGGTACTCCTTGTTGGTGGGGTGCACTGACTTTTTACCAGCACCTAATAACCCCAAGCAGAGCTGGGTGTTCTATTATCCTGCAAGGATCCTGTTCACTCTGTGTCTCTTGCGGCCAGATCTAGCCTCTAGCCTCTCACATGGGAGAAAGAGAGGACAACCCCTCAAGTTGTCCTCTGACCTCCACAAGTATATCATGGCATGTGTGTACTAAAAATAACCTCCACACAGAGACATGCAAAATACATAAATGTAATTTTAAAAACTTAAAAATGGCCAGGAGATAGTACTAGACATCTTTAATCCCAGCACTCGGGAGGCAGAGGCAGGAGGATCTCTGTGAGTTCCAGGCCAGCCTGGTCTACAGAGTGAGTTTCAGGACAGCCAATGCTATACGGAGAAACCCTATCTGGAAACCTGCCCCCTCCAATCTGACTAATGAGCTTTGAGGTTCCATGTGCCCAGACCTGACTCTACCCACTGTGCCTGAGTCTGAGGCCGAAGCAGGTGCATGTCCCCTCATCCTGTGTCTCTGCTCTTCTCTTCCTGACCCAGGTAGTCTACTTGTCTTGGGTCAAAGAGGCCGCTCAGACATGTAATGGCTCTGAGAGAGGTCACAAGAACTAGGAAGTTGAGTCCAAGAACATTTTAGGGAGACCTGAGGCGTCCTGGAGTCAACTCTAAGCCAGACGACAGTTAGAGGCAGCAAGCAAAGCAAGCCCATGGCCAAGTTTACCTAATGGAAGAGAAAGGTCAGCCATTTCTTGAGAAGGGTGTGCCAGCACCACCACACTTTGTTCCCTGTCTCTCCCTTTCCCTCAAGTGTGAAATCCATGTCTAGTTGATAAGGCCTACTTATAAAAGCCATCTCTGAAAACAAAATTAGCTAATTGACGATGACTCACACTACTGAGAAGGACATCCAAAATCACACAAAGTGCATCAGGAACAAAATAGAAATGGTACCACTGAGGACTTGGGACCCTGAGCAGCCTGGCAGCAGGGCCCAGGCACTAGGATAGCAAGAGCTTGGGTTTACACACCATTGTAACCCCTATTTTCTTCTTGGACTGTGGCACTGACCAGATCAAGTTGTCTGGGTTGGAGCCTGTGCTGTGTGTGTGTGCGTGCGTGTGTGTGCGCGCACGCGCACACGCGCGCACGCACATTTGTTCAAATCACCCCCAAAAGCAGACCATCTCTTCTGATGAGGAAGTAGGGTACAGAGAGGCCCAACTGTCTCCTGCAAAGGAGCTGGAAGAATTTGAATGCAGCCTGATCCTAAAGACAGCCATGCAGCCAAGGCTCCAAGAAACTTCCTGCCCTGTCTCCAGGAAGGGCTCTCACAGGCCGCTGGCTATGCTAGGGGTGCCAGCCCTATCTGGCACTGACTCTTACCCTGGCTGTGGCATGCTTGCTATTCTACAGGGATGGAGGCGATGGCAGCCAGCACTTCCCTGCCTGACCCTGGTGACTTTGACCGGAATGTGCCTCGGATTTGTGGAGTATGTGGAGACCGAGCCACGGGCTTCCACTTCAATGCTATGACCTGTGAAGGCTGCAAGGGTTTCTTCAGGTGAGTCCCCTCTCCAGAGGGAAGGAAAAGATAGAAGCAAGCCTTTCCCTCGAAAGGATTCCTGTGTTTTCTGTAGACTGCAGTGGCTCTCCCAATTACTGCAAGTAGCAGGGTCTTAATGAGGCTTTTTTCTCTCTGCACCCTCTAGCTCCACCTGTATCCTCTGACCCCTCAGAAATTGCTTTCCTAAGGTGGATTTTCCTTTTCGCTAGACCTTGACCTGCTGCACTGAGCCTCGTGTCTGCCCTTCAGAGTGAACCTCCTCCTTGCTGAGGATTGCAGCGTCCTCATTTAAAAGCCAGGCATATCTTTGGGGAAGCTACAGAATTCGACCTTTCTGCCCGTCTCTTCATCCAATCTAAATTCTTACATGGAACAGAAGAGATGGCACCCTAAAAAGTTACCGAACCTGATCTATGCTAGGCTTTTCACCCATAGCCTGCTTTACCCAGGTGAACCAGCGGCAGCCTGCCAGTCATTGTCAGGGGTTTAGCGCAATCCTGTTAGGTCAATCAGGGCTAGTGTCTTCTCCAGCTTTCTTATGTGAGCCTAAGATTACAGGCACAGACAGCATGGGTTCAATACTGAGAGGGTCCAGGGATGGTCTTACCCAAAGCCAGAGATGGAGTATTAGAAAGGAGTAAGTGGTAAGAGAGGATTTGGGAAGCAGGAAGTTTGAAAGCTAGCATTCGACATGTACTGAAAGAGAACAGCTTCTAAGTAACTCTTTGGAAAAGAACCAGGGACTGCAGGGCGTTGGGAGGAAAGGAAAGAACAAACTGAGTTCAGAACCAGGAGGCAAGTTCGGCCTGGCAGTCTGAAGTGGTACAAAGTGGGCAAGCTTACAGGGCATAGGGAGTAAATGAACCCTTACACAGGTCCCCAAAGTGGGTCATTCCTCCCTATCAGAGGCCTCTGGCTCACCGACCCTTTTACTCAGGAGCCACAGGCCAGTGTTTCATGGCCTGGAGCAATTTTGATCTCTGGGCATTAGGGTTTCTGTTGGTGCTGATTATGTTTGGCCTGATGCAGGCTGCCCCATTGGCTTACTAGAAAACTGCACCCTAGGGAACCAGACCAACACTGTCACTGGCCATCGTCTTGTAGTTCTATCTGTCAATCCCCATGGCTACATGAAGCCCACACGGCTGGAGAAAGGGCCTCTAGGTCTCAAATCTTTGGTACGAGGTTCCACCTGGACTCTTCTGCCACCTTCAGTGAGATAAAGGGGAGTCTTGGTGCACAATGGGGCCAACCCTGTCATTAAACGACTCAGAAGTACATGGACTAAAAGTATTGTCCATGCCATCAATTTAATATCCAACCTCACCTAATCATCCTGAACAGGCCTGTGTTTCAGCTAACCATCTGTACACATGTGCTGACATCTGGCCCTAATGCTGTGCAGTGTTAATCTGAGATGTAATGAGATAATATATCAGAAAAGAGATTTGGAAAGTGTAGAGTACAGTGTGACATATTACTTGTGGCCACACAGGCCAACACTGATGCCCTTGGTGGAATTCTGCCCTATTAAAAGTTTCTGTAGCCATCTCCCAGTAGCCCTCCTGGTATGTTTGCTTTTGCTCACTCACTTACCAAATTTGAATGAACATAAAGCCAGGAGGTGCCAAAGTTGGGACTGTCACTAAGTATCATATATCACCAATCTATAACCACAATGTTCCAACAGCTCTTGGAGCTGTTTTGTTCATTGATGGAGCCCCTCCCCCAAATCACCTTGCTCTCCCTATCTGCTTTCCCCCCAGAACTCAGCTATGGGAAATGGGGCTCTTAGGTGACTATTTGATTGATCATGAGATAGTGAAGGTCAGTTTCTCATTAGCGGGACCCTAACTCTAATGTGTTTGTGATTGATGCTCCCAGAGAGACCACTGTGGTTTTCCTTGGCTTATGCTTGATCTCTAAATATTTAATTTCATATACATACAGTTGAAACTCCTATGTATATGAAATTCATACACACACACACACACACACACACATACACAGTTGAATGAGTCCTTTATTAGAAATTATTCCCAGCTGCTAAAATTTACCAGAATCAACCCTTGCCACACGTTGGTTGTCATTTATGGATGGTACAGGGCTGTGCCAAGCTGAGTCTTCTGGATGGATGGACACGCTCTCAGAAAAAGCTGAGCAAGGACACTGTGCTGCCTTTGCTCCAGCTCTGACTCTATAAACAAGTGTCTTTGTAATTTTGTCATCCCCCACCCTAGAGGTGCTGGGCCTGAGACTTGGAGGGTATACTAGGCAAGTGTCTACCACTGAGCTTCTCCAGTCACAGTGTTTTATTTTTTTGTTTGTTTGGTTTTTGTTTTTTTAAAGCGGCTTGATTTAAAAAAAAAAACATTTATTTAACTTATTTATTTTATGTGCATTAGTGTGAAGGTGTCAGATCCTCTGGAATTGGAGTTACAGACAGTTTGTCAGCTGCCATGTGGACACTGGGAATTGAACCCAGGTCCTCTGATAGAGCAGCCAATGCTCTTTCACTGCTGAGCCATCTCTCCAGCCCCCATAGTGTTCTTTTAGCAATCTGCTGACTTACTGCTATATCATCATTTGTTGTTATTATTGCAGGGTCTTTTGGGGGGAGGGTTGTAGTCATTGGTATTGTTACTTAAAAAGGGTCCTAAATTTAGTACTAAAATGTGTAGTGTTAAATTTAGGAAGCCATGGTGTGCCTTCTGGCGAAACCATATGTGTATGATACGCTTAATTCCCTCTATGAGCAATGCAGTTTGTTGGTGGCTCATTGCTAATAAACCAACACTGTATTTCAAACAAGACTTTAGAGAGAAAATATACATAAATCACAGTAATGAAAAATGTTGTAAGTCAAGGTTCACGGGAACCTGACCCTGTATTTCCCCAGGAGACAGTTCAGCATTCAGGACTCCAGTGTTCACAGTGATGTCAAGAAAGATCACGTGTCCTGGAGTAACAAGAATCAGCTACATCTACATCCTTTCTCCTTTCCTGGTTCTCATGCTACCTTCTTGGCTTTCTTTGACTCATCTAAATTTCACTTGGGATTTTTCCAGTTCATCAGTCCAGTTCAGATAATTGCTTGAGTACTCCATAGTCACTTATCTGTTTATACCCCAAGAGGCGGCTGGTACTGTCTTCCTCTCAGTAACTACCTTCTTGGGACTACAGAGATACTTGTAGCCAAGTTACAGCTCTTCGGAAGCTTCTTCTACCCCATCATGGAAGCTACAGGGAAAAATTTTGCTCTAGTCTCGGCTCATAGGCTACTCCCCAAACCCAGGGACTGGTTGTCCTCTTCAACCATTAGTGTTTGGTTTGGCACCTAACTGCAAAAATAATAGTTTTCATGAACCCAGGAAGTCCAAGACTCACTCAAGTCCAAGGGTTATGATGAAGTTTGAAGGGCCATGGTTTAGTTGACCTGCCTGTAGTCATGAGTTAGAGTCCAATGCTGGCCAGTTCCTCCTATAGACTGTTCCATGTTCTATGTGCTTCCTGCTCTTGTGAAGTACATGGACATCAAAGATGATCTCTACAGTGTAAATTAAAGGCCTGCAAAGCTGAGTGTGTGGATGGCCAAAGATTCTCAACTATGGATTAACAAACAGAGCCTTAGTAAGAAAGTGCCAGAAGGAGCCAACCTCATAGGATATATATATATATATATATATATATATATATATATATATATATATGGATAGGTGTGGATGAATTTCTAATCATAATGGCTCTGTCTAAGGTCTGATGTAAATGGAAAGGCATAAAGATGGAGAAGAATGACCCAGGGACTCTCTGATAAAGAGACTGAGGTTGATGAGGAAATTAAGAGAGGGTCCTTGAAACTAGATTAACAGTTCATTCATTTACCTCTTTTTTCTCCTTCCCCTAATCTATCAATATTGTTAACTAAAAACTTCGAAGGCTGGAGTGTGTAGCTCAATGATAGAGTGCTTGCATATCTTATCTGAGGCCTTAGATTGAACCCTGATACTGTAATCAAACAAAAAAGCACTGTAAAGCCCAGCACTGTCAGGTAGGGAAAAAAAAAAAAAAAAAAAACAACCCATGGAGAAACGCATTTTCATTTGCTAGCCCCAAGGTCCTCAGTGGCCTTGTTAATTATGGGTCTTCCAGAGTGCAGGGAATGAAAGGCAGGCTAGTGAGAATCCAGAAACAAGAGAGATGTTCTGCTTTCAGGAAGATGGCTCGTCTGGTATTTATAGCTCTTCTAAGAATTTGTTGCAAAGGAAGCAGAGAAATGGGGAAATGTCCAGCTGATTTAAACACAAAGTACTTAAATGAAATGAATAGAAAAGATGGGAGGAAAGACATCCTGGGGCCTTCTGTGGCACAAGTAGATGGCTCACTGGATAGTCATTGCTGCTGAGAACTTTGTCCAGGGCAGCTGTCCCTCTACCCTCTATAGGGCGAGGAAGGAAGACTGCCACTGTGACTGTTGATAGATGGCCCAAGAGTCATGTGCTTAGAGAGAGGAGGCCAGAACATGGAAGTAATGAAGGCCAGTGGGATTGTGAAGAAAGACATAAAGATATAAATGTATATATATATCTTCCATTTTCTTTTGGTTGTTGTGTTTATATCTTTAAGAATTGATGCTCTAATCTGAGATATTTGCATGAATTCACTCTCAGCATACCCTGGGGCTCCTCTATGTGCACAGGCAAAATAGGGCTGGAGGATGGTGTGACCAGGTGTTACCCCATACTTCCAACACATACAGCTGGGGTCAACCAATGACCCAATCTTTTTCATCCCAGAGGGGTCCTCAGACAGCCTCTGCTTCTGCTCCTGGGTGCTGGGCAGGCTGCTTGTTTTTGAACTGACAGGTGATAGATTCATGATGAAGAGCTTAAGAGTGTAAGAAGGCCAGGAGCTTTGGAATCCAATAGAACTTAATTAGATTACATTGTCACCCTTACTAATTACAGGGCAGTAAGCAAGCTATTTGACTTCACTATACC